GCGGAGACCTCTTCCTATGTATACCTCGGGCGTTCGATGAACATGGAGAACGATCTAGAAAAAGAACTAAGCAGGAGGCAAAGAGCAGCTTGGGCCGCCTTCGGTCCCCTAAGGGAAGCCACAGACCAGCTGATAGACCCAGAGCTCCCCAACTGTTCGATTCAACTGTTCTCCCTGCGTTCTGTTATGCAACAGAGGCGTGACCTGACACTGTGGCTACGTCAAAGGCTCTTCGAGCAACCCATAGAGCGCTGGAGCGACGTTTTCTGGAGTACAACCGACGCACTCAACTCTTCGTCGGACTTCGCAGTTCAGATATGGGACAATGTCTGGTCTTCGCGATTAAGCAGGACACGTTTCTAAGGCAAAAAATCTATGGGCTAGTCATATAATGAGAAGAGCAGACGACAGATGAACACTAAGAACACTAAAATGGATCCCTGAAGCAAAACGTCTTCGAGGGAGGCCACCGACCAGATGGGCTGACGTGTTCGTTGCGGATGGACTAGCTGAACTCTCAGCTGGTTACGAGCAATGGATCTGAACCACGCGACGTCGCCGACGAGTTCAATACCAACATCGTGGATGACGCTTGCGAGAGAGAACAGATAGAAACAGTGCTGTGGCACACGACAAGTGAAGACAAGCCATCTAAGTATCTGAGTAAGTGTCTATAAATTTGTATACAGTGAAAGATGCTTCTGCAGATACATACTATCCCTCGTTTTCTTTAATACTTTGTAGTTAAGTTGGTGTTTTAGTGCGCAGTCAAATCTGAGCAATGATATTCATTAAAAAATTTTCTCTTATGCAGTTTAGTAACACAGAGTTAATTGAGGATTGTGGTTAGCATAATGAGACAATCTCTCTAGAAGCAAAAAAGAATTAAAACGGGATCAGTTTATCTTCGAAGTTGGATTTCTCAATGCGTATTTTTCTGGAACAAATGTTTACATCTGTGTGACAACTTCGACTTTGCTCCGCAAATGTGACCCTACCTAATTTTCTCGAAAATTTGGTACGTTGTGCGTGCAAGTTCCACTCCGGAAAGTTTTTTTCTCTTCAGTTTTTCCATAGATAAGGATTAAGTATCTACTTCATATACAAAGACAAAACTCGGTGAAAAGTTTTTGAATGCATGTCTCGCGACTAACAACAATAAATAGAGGAATAAGTAATAATAAATATATTGGAACTTAGAATGATATGATTTATTTACATTTAGTACCTATCCGAGAAAGTACTCAGATAAGTACTATCCAAACTACAAGCAAGCATTACTTCAAACGATTGAATGCGCTACATCACATAGATAGGATCTCGAATGACGCGACATTGTGTTTTCACCG